CCTTCAGAGCTTGTCTAGTCTCTTCCTTATGCTAAACCCACCACAATGACCTCTGCTGAACCATGCATGTGCCTATAGTACTCACCTTAGGGCTGCTGCACATTCCACCAACTCTCCCACCCAAAATCTACAGCCCTCCCACCTCCCTTGAACGTCTAGCTCCACTTCACTTTCCAGCGAGGCTCTATGATATAGACGTGTCCATACCCACATACACACCAACCACAGCTAGCCTCATTCATCTCCAGCTTGGTGACAACTTAAGAATTTGGTTATGCCAAGGAGCTATGAGAAAATATTAACTAGCAAACTATAGTTAGGAGTAGAAATTGGGATAAATTTCTTGGAAAGTATCATAGTTTTTTTGGCATTGCTGGGGAAAAATAACCAACACCCACAAGTTAAAGGAGGACAGGCACCCACAAATTAAAGGAGGGCAGGTTTATTTTAGTTCACAGTTCATAGAGTTTTTAGTCCATAGTCAGCTGGCTCCAAGGCAGGGAGGCATGACAGAGGGGCATCACAGAGAAGAAACAGTCCATGGCAGGGAAGGCAGGAAGCAGCAATGAGCCTTCATTTTAGTTACTTTTCTCTCATTGCTGAGACAAAATGTCAAATAGCCAAAGCTAAAGGGAGAAAGGTTTATTTAGCTTACAGTTTGTAGAAATTTCACTCCATAGTTGGCTGGCTCCTAAGTGGTACGTGGAAGAGGGATATCATAGAGAAGAAACAGTTCATTGCACATAGAAGGTAGTAAAAGCAACAAGGGGCCTTAATAGCATCTTTCCGCCCTTTTAAATCTTATCCAGACTATTTAGGGCAGGTAGCATCCACACACTTACTCCTAGTGCCCTTGAGCCTAACATTGCACCATGAATCAATTCCAGCATCACACACTCTAGATTCAACCACTTCTGAAAAAGTCCCACCTATGACCACATGAGGCTTTGCGGGGACATCTAAATACAAGCTGTAACAGCCTTCCTTTCCCTTTTACTGTATTCAGGCTATAAGCCAATTGGTTGGTGGCACCCACAACCAGAGTGGGTGGGCCTTCCCGTTACCCACACCCAGAAGTTTGCCAAACCAATCAGTGGACTAATTTAGTTATCATATACTGTTAATCTATATCCTAGATCCAATTATTTTTTTAAAGCTGCGGAGCCCCACCTCTGAGTGCATGAGGCTTTGGGGAGACATCTAGCAACAAGCCAGAACAGAAAACATATATAAATTTAAAAATTTAAAAGACATATATATCAAAGTGGTCAATGCAACACTGTTTGAAATGACATTAATTTCAAAACAATCTAAACTTCCATCAACAGAGAGCTGATTATATATATACATATACACATACACACACATACACATACTTGTACAGAATGTACTACCAGACAGGGAATTACCTTGGGGATGTATCAAGTAGTAAAAATGAAAGCTGCTGAACATGGTAAAACATGAGCTCATGTGTGTGTGCATACATGTAAAGGTAAATGTAATCTCATCTTGGCACTATTTCTGGCATGCCTGTTGTTTACCTCTGAGAAAGGACACTGAGATTTTTTATTGTATTCTCATTTTCTCTCTTTCATTGTTTAACATACATGCATATTATTTTTATGAGTCAAAACACTTTTTGTAAAGTTGGGCTTGCTCTCTAGTATTGATACATCTGTACTGAAATGGGAGTTACTTGATTAGTCTGTGACTTAGGGGAAATAAATTAAATTATCCATGCTTTATATTTTATATCCATAAAATGAAGTTCACTATAACCCTGATCACATAAGACTATTGTGAATGTTAAGTAAAATGATGTATAAATAGAGAATGTTTGGCAGGATATATACTACACACTCAATTGTGATAACTAAGATATGATTTTATTATGAGAAGCAGAACCATGAGTTTGAAAGAATACATTGTACTTTGCAGGGTACCTTGAATAGAGTAGGTTCTCCATAGGGAAAACCCCTGCAATTATTAATAATATTATAATTTTTAAATTGATAGCAATAATAGTGGAGGGAAAGGTTCAGATTTACGTTACTCAAAGTCATATGGCTATTATCTGTGAGCATCAGAATGAAAAGCAGGGAGATGTCCTGATTTAGAATGATCAATTCAATAGCTATGTTCTGAGCACTGAAGTCTCCCATCCACCTATTACAACATACTTCCTCACAAGAGACAAGAACAATATACAATTCTATGAAATGACAAGTAGTAGTCTATTATGAACTACAAAATAAACATAACCAAGAACAGGTGGCCCAGGCACTTTAGGAAAAGAAAGGTCAACCATGTGAAAGCAGAAGTAAAATCAGATGGTGCCTTTAAATATATTCCTGGTGAGTTCCTTCAGGAGGACTCCCAGGGTAAGGAGGTCACAGATGTTGCCTGAGCTGCCTCCAGCAGGAAACTCAGAGGCCCAGGAGCAAAGCTCCCAAGGCCTACTAGCCCAGTTCCTTTGCTCATGTTATATTTTGACCAGCCCCCAGTGATTCGACAATACTCAGGCAAATAATCTTAGAATAAATTACTTCAACCCAGTAATAACATATGGATTCGAAAACCCAATGCCCACTGCGTGGGACTTCTGTGTGGTCCACTACTGTTGCCATGTCCAAGTGTCTCCACCCCGTTGAGCACTTTAAGGGCCCTTCCCTAAGCAGTCCCAGAACCTAAGTGGAATCCCTGCAGGGCCAGGCAGTTCCTGCACACAGGATAAAGGTGCAACTGTCAAGCAAACTAAAAAGGAGGGCAAAGGTCTATCAAGGCAGTCAGAAGTGTGCAAACACAGTTTGAAGTTATTATTGTTAACTAATATGAAGAAATAAAGAATTAATGGTAGAAAAAAATTGCAGGATAGTTTCATAGTGGGTATTTTTCACATACCTTAATGAGTTAATAGTTTTTTTTGTTTTGTTTTGTTTTGTTTTTGCTTTGTGAACAAAGAATGAGAAAGGCTTCCTAAGGGTGATGGATAGGACCTGGGAATGCACCTGTTCTGGCTTCACTCTTCCCAAGTAGTTTAAAATGTAGAATGAAAGTAACGTTTCCAGGATGAATATGCTCATGTAAAAAGAAAATAGGACTTGGCTAGGGTTGGCAGCTATCAACCCCTTGCCTTGTCCATTGACCTTGCAAAATAGTGTACCAAGGTGGCAGTGTCTCCTCCAAGGCTAAGGACGACAATCAGACTCCACAGAATCAGTGCAAGGCCACCAGGTCCACACAGCGGTTCCCAGGGGGCATCAAGCCTCCAAATGGAATGCTGGGAATTTACCAGAGATTTCTCCAGCTAGAGCCAGAGCCTCGGAGCTTAACTCTGAACCCACCTGCCAGGCATGGATCGGCACTAGCTAAACACAGGAGGGCTAAACATTCCTGCCATGCCAAGGTTAAGACCGGCTCACCTGTTCACTGAAGGCAGCCAATATCGAGTAAGCACACTTTTTGCTGTTATCACAAATATCAGTCACACTGTGCAGATGCCAGCCTGATGGCAGTGCTCTGGACTGTCACTGACCTCAGGTTATGGCAGTGTGTTTTGCATATAAGGTTATGCAAGGGCCAACTGGTGAATCTGAATCCCATTCCTGCATGTTCCACCCTTTCTTATGTGAATGCAAGAAACAAATATCCACATATATCCCCAATAGGTTTTCTGCAGTCAACTCAATAGAAGAAATTCTGAATTATAACAATCTTCCAAGGGAACTGTTTCAGACCACTTGGAAGTGATACTGAGATTTGTATCTTCAAAATGCTAAACTGGTATCAATTCATCAAATATTCATGACCATAAAAAGCCTGCTGTTGTATATGGGGGATTAGACAAGGAAACAGTCAGTTCCCAAGGGTTTGTCATGTTAACATTTCCATTCAAGGGGAACTATGATATCAACTTGAAATAAATTAGAGGTTTGCTGCGCTCCTTATCTGGATGAGATTTGCAAAGGAGAAAATATTTCAAATGCCCTATTGTATGGAAATTTATTTAAGAAAGATTAAATTGCTGGGTGGGGAAAGGAATAGGCTGATAAATCTGACCACCTAAAGCTCCAAAATAAACACATAGAAGAACAAAACAAAGTACAAAATGCAAAATAAAAACCACAAGACAGAAAATCACATGCTACAGTAAAATAGCCAATGAGATAACATTTTTTTTGGGCGGGGCGAGACAGGGTCTCACTAAGTAGCTGAGACTAACCTGGAACTCACTATGTAGCCCAGGCTGGTCTTGAACTCACAGTGACCCTCCTGCCTCAGCCTCCCGAGTGCTGAGATTACAGGCATGTGCCACCACACCCAGCTCCAATGAGAGAATTTTGAACATTTCCAGAATAAAGGAATGACATATGTCTGCGATGATGACCATGTCAATTACTGTAATCTGATAATTACACATTATATATATATATATGTATTGGAATGTCATACCATACTCCAGAAATACGTACAATTACTATGCATCAATTTAAAAATCAAATATTTTTTAAGAAGGAGTAACAAATATTCTAAAATGTTACAACTCATGTCATAAAGAACTAACTTCCACAATGCATAATGAGATCTAAAAAATTCAGAAGAGGGAAGAATCTGTAGAAAAATTGATAGGGATCAGAATAAAGAATTTTCCGGAAAAGGAACAAAACACACAAAAATGATCAGCCTCTTTTATAGTTTCACTTGTAAAAATGAAACTAGAATTAGAATAATAGAGTAATAGTTTCCAAACTAAAACTACAATAAGGTATAATGTTCTACCCATTAGAATGACAGTAACTTAGATACTGGATAATACAGGATGTTACCATTAATGAAGAAAATCAGATGTTTTTATTTCCGATGGAATTGCAAAATGCTAAAATCCCTAAGAATGACAGTATCTTCCAAAATTAGAAATGAGTTTATTCTTTGACTCAGCAGTTCTGCCCCTGCGAATTTACCCTACATGCATAGCTTCAAGTATGCAAAATAGCACTCACCCAAGGTCATCATGGCAATGCTGTCTGTGATCAGGAAGGGATGTAAAGGAATTATCCTTTACAGGTGACAGCAACCTGTAGTCCTTCCACACAGGGCAGAATAAAGGTTCGTGGAGCTGAAATTCTCTATGCGCTTACAGTGAAGATCTTCAGAAGCTCCGGTGTGCCTAAGATAACACAGTAAGCCACTGTTTATAAAACACAAGCGTAACAAAAGAAAGCACCTGCACATGTACTTATCTTTGGTTAAAAAAAAAAATATATACATACAAAACTATTAGAGAAAGTTCCTCACTAGGGTAGGAGGTAAAATGGAAAGAATGAAAGCAATAGTTTTTAAAATATACACGCCCATATACTTTTCTTTGGGCCACACACCAATATTACCTTCTCAAAAGCAAACTCGAAAAACAGCAGTATCGTGTGTGTTTTGAACAAAAAAACAGAAACCATTTGCTCAGGTATGTTAATCCCATGTTGAGGTTTCTACAAACCAAGGTTTTTAAATTTTATTTTTATTTTTACCTAATAATTTTATAAAATATTGGGAATCTTGGGCTTCGGCACACATATTTTTATTGTATTTATCTCTCCGTTACTCTCCTTTAGCCCCTCAGCTCTATGATTCCTCTCTTGTTGTAATAGTCTCCCTGCTACTTTCTTGTCATCTTTTATGGATTCCTCATATTAGGGAGAACATGAGATATTTATTTTTCTGACTCTGGCTTATTTCACTTAATAGGATGGTATTCAGTTCCATCCATTTTACCGCAAATGACCAAATGTCACTTTTTACGGCTGAAGGACACTCAGTTATGTATATATACTGCATTTTCTTCAGTCATGCGCTGATGGGCATCTAGACTGGTTCTGCATTTTGGCTATGGGGAATCATGCTGCAGTATACACAAGCATGCGAGTATCTATAATCTGCTGACTTTCATTGCTCCTGGTAGATACCAAGGAGTGGTACAGCTGAATCAAGTGGTAGCTCTACTTTTAGTTTTCTGGTTAACCTCCATGCTGATTTCCGCGGTGGCTGTACTAATTTACATCCCCACCAGCAATGCGGGAGGAGCCCTTTTCCCCACATCCTTGCCAGCATTCAGTGAGTTTTGTATCCTTAATGAAGTTCTGAAAGGGGAGAGATGAATCTCAGTGTAGATTGGATTTGCATTTCCCTAAGGGCTAAATATGTTGGACCTTGTTTCATACATTTATTGGCCTTATGTACTTTTTTTTTGAGAAGTGTCTGTTGGGTTCATGGGCCCTGTTCGATTGGGCTGTGCAGCTTTTTGGCTTTAAATTTGTTAGTTCTTTAGAGTGAAGGTTTTCCTATTATATTTTCCAGATGAATTCATTAGTCAGATATCACATTGTCCACACACACAATAATTGATTAGTTCTTGTTAAATTTGTACATAATATAAAGCCAACAGCTGTTGTATCATTTTATAAACATTCCCCTTATAGTCGTGAATTGAAACACATATATAATGTGTTGATTGCTGTTCTTGGGATAATTACATGAGCCCTTGGCTAGTAAGACAGTTGTCTCAGTTTTCTACTTAAGTCTTTACAGAATTTTTAAATGGTCTTCAGTAAATATCCCTTAATTTTATAATTTAAAAAAAAAACAATCCTGTATCGATCACTTTCAAGATTTTACTTCACTGCAAAGCAAATTGCTTCAAAGTACGAAAAGCTCACTCGTGACTAGGAGTGTGCACAGTGTGAAAGTGAGGGTCCTGGGAAGGGGCTGCACGGAGGCCAGGTGGACACAGGCCTTTGGGTGCTGCTGCGGAAGGTGGCACACTCGCCTCCCAGCACCCCTGCCCCCCTGCCAGTCCTGCCAGCCCTGCTAAACACTGGACTGTTTCTAAAACGAGGGAATTTTCCCAGAAGCAAGTAGTACTCTGGGGCCCCCAGTCAAGGCCGAGTTCTGAGTCTTCTATTGTCCTCCTTCCTAATGATATAGGCTGCCCACTTCCTTAACAAGCTGGGCCTGTTCACTGGAAAATGTAACAAATAATTTCAAGGTTATGTCACTCTTGGCAAGCTCAGTAACGCTAGTGGAAAAAGGAAGTTTTCAGAACAAGGCAGAGACTGAAATCTTGTTTGAAACCACTGGCCTTGCAGGCTGCAGGGAGCCTTGGTGCCCAAATTCACAGGACTCTGCTGCTCCAGTGGACTTCGAGAAGGGTGTAAGTTAGAAGAGATTGATGTGTTTAAATGCAGCCTCTGTGAATAGGGAATTAACTCTGACATGTACATTTTATTTCAAGTCTGACCTTTAAGTGTTTGTGCGGTAAAGGACACATTGTCTTTGCTTCTAAGCACAGCCAGCTTTCGATTATTCAGGAGACGACCATTTCCACTACCTTGAGTTTTGGATTTCCCTCCTCTTGTCTGCTTATATGATCTTATTGTTTATTAGTCCTTCCTTGATTAAATGAGCAGAGAATGAAAAACAAAGGTAAGCTAACATAATTTGTGCTAGACCAGCTCTCACGACGAACATGCTGGTCCCGGATTATTACCAGTGGGGATTCCGGCTGATGACCCTTTCTTTTGTAGACAGGGAAAGCTGGGAGGTGTTGGGCAAGACCTGAGCATCGAGGCTGTTCTTGCCTTTGCCTATGGCTCCCCTGGGGACTCTGGGTCAGTCATGCAGCTTACTGTCCTTTGGTTTTCTGGGGACAGAGTAGATCTGTTAAGTTTAGAGATACATTAGAAGGAATGGGAAAGAGAGTTTAAAATGCCTATGAAATACACTAGGCTCCCCAGAGCATGCTCAAGCATGAATCCTAGGGCGCACACAAGCAGAAGCATCTCTTCCAAGAGACTCTGGAGTCTGGTCCTTGTTCCCAACCATCACTAGATTAGCCATGCGTGAGAATCTCAACTTGCACCACAGCCTAAAGCATTCCATCTTTCTGAGGCTCTGTCAGGGCGTATTATTCTGACAAATAAAATCACATTACCATCAACTGTAATTACATCCAAAATATGACTATATATATATATGCTTTAGATTACAACCAGGAGGCAGGAATTTTATTATTTTTTTTTAGAGAGAATTTTTCTGGTCATAGCATATTGTATAATTTGACTATCGTTGCCTTAATTATAGAGGCACTTGCCAATAAACTCGAACCCAGAAGGGCTGCCCAAATTTACACTCACAGAGGACTATATGACCCCATTCCTGAAGAGAGGCCACCAAACACGGGCTTTTGATGAAGGATGCACCCCTGCAGAACAGAGGCCATAAAGAGTCTAAAGAACACTCGACTGTCTTTTTGATTTTGTTGCTTTTTACCCTAAAGACCTATATATTAATGAAGTAGTTTTAGTTAATTAACCAATAAATCCATGCGTCACCTCTTGCCTCCTGGAAGAGTATTTTAGCTACTATTTTAGAGAAAATTTAGCTGTATCTCTCCAGCTAGACATCTTAATGGAATGCATTATCTTAGAATCTATTTCAAAACCAGCTGGCTTGGTAACTGAATAACAGCTTTCATGGGCAATCCACTGAGCTTATAGAAATTTTTGATAGCTTCTGGGGGAGGTGTTTGAAGGAAACCAAAACAAGGGTAAGGATAATAAATGTTTTATCTCTATAACTATATAGTCTTATTTTAATAGAAAGTGTTAAAATTTGAAACATTTACAACTTTGGGAAAGTATGCTAATGCATATGGGTCTGGAAGATTACTCATAGAAAACCCTCTTAAACATACACTTCACTTCTGAACTAAAATTTATTTGATATTTTTCTATTATTACCTTGTATTTCACAATAAAAATTCTTAAAACAGACAAATAGTTTACCTTTTTAGTAAAACTCTAAACCCTAATAAGATTCTTATATCTCCTCATTTTCTCAGGCTAGAAAGTGGAAACACTGAACTATGTACAACATTTTATAAGAATATAAAATAGTATAAACAGTGGTTTACATATAGTCTGTCTTATAGCAAAGCATACAGTAGTATGAGTTTTTCAGCAGAATAAAAATCTTTCAGTAGAATGATTTCATTTTGTCTATTACTTTTGCTCTTTTTTATGTTATAATTTAAGGATTATCCATTTAGGGTAAGCAATCAGATTAAAATGAGTATTTTTCAAAATCATAATTCAGCTTATATCATGAAAATAAGAGTTGATATGATGTAGATTTTAGATATTTCAAAAATCAGATTATCAAATACACATCCCTGTGAATAATGCTATATAAACATGTGATAAACAAATAATTTATGATAAAACATCCAATATACAGAAGGGGGAAAATACTTAGGCTCCAGGAAATCCTATGGCTACTAATATTTATGATATAATTTTTATCACTCATGAAGTCAACAGGTTGAGCTTTTTGGAAAATGAACATATGAATGTGTGTGTATGTTTATATACATAGATGTGTATCTCCACATACATAAAAATAGTTGTGTGTATTCATACACACAAAAATAAAAGGATCCATTTCAAGATAAAAATGTGGTGTTGTGGTTTAGAGATCTAAAATGTCTCCCAATAAGATCACGTGTTCATAGGTGGTGCTTTTAGAAGGTGACTGGATCTTGAAAGCTCGAACGGTATCAGTGGACTCTTCCATTGGTGGATGTATAATTTGATGGCTCTACTGGAGTTGACAGAAACCCTGAAGGTGAGGCCACTTGAAAGGAGTGGATCATGGGGGACGTGACCTTGGGCAAAGGACAGAGTAGACACAACATGGTGATAACTCTTTACACACAGTTGTTGACCAGACAGTTTAACAGGCTACATCCAGCAGCATCAGGAAAATTCTTTCCAGTGAAGAAAGACTATGTAAATGATATCCCTGGACCCAGACTTAGAGTTCCATATATACAAGCTTAGATTCAAGCTAACTGGACCGAGTCATTTCAATCAGATTAACTGAGAAAGGATTCTCCATGAAGCAGCTACTTTGTATGATCCAAATGACGGGCTTGGGAAGGCAATAACAGAAACTTGTAAAGTTAATTTTGAAGATGGCTACAAAAGTCTCAGAATTCAGCCATCAAGTTTGACCATTGGGCTTAGGACTGAACAAATGGAAATCCGACCTTTTTATGAGAACTGAAGATCTGTGAGTGCTGGGGGTTTGCTCTACCATATGCACAGCAGGGCCTCC